CACAACCAGTCACATGGGGGCCCATTGGTCTATCTATGAGGTGCAAAAGGTCATGAATTCCAAAACCAAATCTGCTGAGCTGTAGAATCTATTGCAGAGTTAGGCGCCAAAACATGCGGAGGAATATTGCGTGACCGTTAGCCACGTGTAGGGATCTCTGATTCCCTTTCCAATTCGTGCGTGCATGTCTTAAAAAGCTTTTTTTTTTCGTGGGCCGACACCATGTGGGCCTTCCCCAGCCCATGATTTGCGCTTTTTCACGCCCCCAATCTTTTGCTTTTGCCTGTTTTGACCCCTTAATTTTTTAAAGAATTTTTTCCGAATGGAGAAGTTTGAAGTACAGTGTCCGTTTGGCCATAGATTTTGGGTATATATTTCAAAAAGAAATTGAAAATGTTATTTGTTCATGGAATATAATCAGTTTTTGAAACAGATTAATTTTTTTTTTCAAGTTCCCAAAAACTAGTTTAGGACAGTTTATGGATGGATTTTTTTCTTCCATTCACAAAACTTCAAGTTTTTTTCCAAATAAAATACACATCCAAACACAAATTCAACTTCTAAAAATGATTTTCAATACAACTCCAAAAATCTTTTTTTTCAAATTTCAACCAAATTTATGTCCAAACACTAGCTTAAGTTAATGTTGAAAAAAAAGAAGTATTTTAAATAAAAGTTAAAATAAATTTTTCGATATTGAAGTTTGGTTTGGCCATGAAGTTCATCTAGAAAAGAAAAAAACTTATGATCATTGAAGGTTTTGCAAGTTGAAAATCAGCACTTCACATGAACACTTTTATCGAATCAATATTTCAATATTTCACACTTGTAGTTCAAATACTAAACTTCAAATTTGGCAAAAAATGAAATAGTATTTATGCTTATATTGGCGCAATAGTGCTACATTATGTCCTTGATAATTGCGTGAAACGCGAACAAATTTATCGGTTATTATATAATTTAAAAAAAATCTATTGGCCTAATATATCATCAGAAATTCGAGCAACAGATGCCATAACACGATGCAAACTCCACCGTTTGAAAAACGAATATCAGAAAATAAAAGGAAAAAATTCAAAGAAACACTAACTTATAGCATGTGCCTTCTAGCATTTCTTTGGTTTCTACTATTTTTTTTTTGGTTGCTCCGTTCTCTTTTGATATAATAATAATAATAATAATACTAACTTATAACATGAAATTCCTATTTATTCGATTGTGGGACCAGAAAACAGTGGTCAATGGATTGAAGCAACATGGGTTAAAATCATGATCTCCACAAACACAACATGTGCATCTTTATTATTGTCAATTATTATTCGTAGAAAATCTCTACGTACCAACAAATGTTGTATGTTGTTAGATTCCTCTTTGTTGATAACCAGATGGTCATTGACTAATGTTGATCAATTTCAAGGCACAAACAAAGCTCCCCCGTAAAAGGTCTGGGAAGAGGCTAGAGGCGTATAGGCGGATTCAGAATTTAAATTTATGTGTTTAACCTTTAAAATTTTTGTATTGAACCAATTATATTTTTAAAGCTATGAGTTTTTATCTTTTGTTAAATATTTTGTGAAATTCATAAGTTGTTCAAGACCCTCGCCTTCAACAGACATGAAGAAAACATTGTGACACCAACACTCTCTATTTACAAGTTTGAAGAACAATGCCTTTGCACATAGCCTACGAAATTATTCCCAGAGAAAGAAAGACGTAAAGCTCAATTAATATTATAGGTAAAAGATGATTATGGGTAGTTCAGGTGAGCTTAAAGTCAACTACAACTGAAATGGCATATCGATTTTGCCACCAACAAACCTACTTTAACCTTTGCAATCATACTCATTTGGATATGTTCCTTTCTCTTCTACTATCGAGTCATAAGGGTAAGGAGGTGAGCTCTAAGCCTATACACATAGATAGGTCTAGGTAAGCGACCATCAGCAGTATGGGTAGCAGTTACTATCAGTACACCAATCTAAGGTTATTCGTAGAGTTCCATGAAAAGCTATTTTTAGCATAAATAGCATGATTAATTAGAAAATAACATGATGGCCGTAAGATCATAAATAATGTAAATATTCTTACATGGATGTCTAGATCAGGGTGTCGGCATCACACACTCAAAATATGACTCTTGGTTGGTTCGAATTCCTCCGCTTCTGATCAATACTGCTGTTCTACTCCTACTACTCTCTCATTCATTTGCATTTCTATGTAGAAGAAAAATTAGTAAAAGAAGAGACTTGGTCGTGTAATTTTTTTATACATATGGTTATCTAACATTTAGATATTTATCTATTCTATGTTTTTTGTTTATATATACACTTTTTCAGATGATACTTTTGCCAAAAAGCAGTTGATACCTATGATACTTCCAGGTAAGAACATTCTTGCCACACACTGAATTGGGGTTCTTTTTATTTTGTCGTCTGTCGACATATAACAATAACATATTCAGTGCGATCTCACAAGTGGGGTCTGGGTAAGATGGGAGGTAGGTAAACCTTACCTCTATCTCCTTTGAGATAAATTTTGTCGTCTGTTCACATATCAAATACTAACTCCTAACTCCTTAGGGCCCTTATTTTGTTTGTGTTTGGAGTCAATCCGTAAATCCACAACAAATATGATCCAAAAGTAGCCCAACCCAATTTAGGGTGGGGGATTTGCATCTATACACAATTTTTAGATCACCTTTTAACTTATACCCGCTTTGCACAAAAATTACAAGCGTACTCACTTTTCGCGTAATTTCAGACATACGGGTCTGAAGTAGCAAAAATTTATGTCTGAAGTTTGAACTTCAGAATTTTTTGCCTGAAGTGTAGCCTTATCAAACCAAAACTTCATATATTTTTGCCTGAAGTTTGGCCCGACTTGCAAAGACAATCACACAAACTTCAGTTTCATAGTGCAATGGCAAACTTCAGTTCAATAAAACTACAACATATTTTGGCTGAAGTTTTTTTTTTTTTTTTTTTTTTTTTTTTTTTTTTTTTTTTTTTTGTAATTGCTGAACTTCAGCATTCTAGGAGCTGAAGTTTGTTTTGTAATTGCTGAACTTCAGCATTTTAGGAGCTAAAGTTTATTTTGCATTTGCTGAACTTCAGCATTCTAGAAACTGATTGAAGTCTGATCCGAAGGCCCAATACAATCCAGCCCCTTTCCTTTTACAAACATACGCAATATCGAAGGAGCTCTTCTTTTCTTTTTCTGATGGAACACTTTCCTTTCTTCATCTGAAACAATCAAAACCTATATTTGTCCTTTAGCTCAATCTTCAGCTCATTCAAGAACTCACTACCTTCAAATCTTGATAGGAAAATTAAGATCCATCTCGAAGTAAAAGGCAAGAAAATGAAAATATCTTGTTCCACTGTTATTCCTTTTTTTTTCTTTTGCTGTTCTTATTGTGGGATTGAAAGAGAAAGGAAGAAGAGGAAAAAAAGAGGGGAAGAAAGGAGCGCATAGGTCAGGAGGAAGAAGAGGAGGTGAAATTGTCAAAATTAGGGTATAAATTAAAAAAATTTAAAAATATGGGTATAGGTTAAATGGCGACCAAATAGGGCGCCCCCCGTGTAATTTTGACATTTAGGGTTCATGACCGTTTACTTGCTTTTTTACCTTGATTTTTAGTGGCCTCATTTGTTCTTCTTTTCTCCTTTTTGTATTGTTAGTTTCGGGGTTTTTGCATCTATACCCAGTTTTTAGGTCACAATTGAATCTATACCCACTTTACAAATAAGTTTGCACGCCTACCCATTTTGCGATCAACTTCAGACTTATCGCGTCAGAAGTTATAAAAAATTAGTCTGAAGGGAAAAAATTGCACTTCAGATGTACTTAAGGCCAAATAGGTCTGAAGTGCAACCAATGGTTTCATGCACTTAATGCCAATAAGTCTGAAGTGAAAAATTGCACTTCAGATGCACTTAAGACCAAAAGGTTTGAAGTGCAACAAGCGTTTTCCTACACTTAAGGCCAATAAGTCTGAAGTGAAAAATTGCACTTCAGATGCACTTAAGACCAAAAGGTTTGAAGTGCAACAAGCGTTTTCCTACACTTAAGGCCAATAAGTCTGAAGTGAAAAATTGCACTTCAAATGCACTTAAGGCCAAATAGATCTGAAGTGTAACCAATGGTTTCATGCACTTAAGGCCAAATAGATCTGAAGTGTAACCAATGGTTTCATGCACTTAAGGCCAATAAGTCTGAAGCGAAAATTTGCACTTCAGATGCAATTACAGCCAAAAGGTCTGAGGTGCAACAATCGTTTTCATGCACTTAAGGCCAAATAGGCCTAAAGTGCAAATTGCCCAGAGAATTTTTTTTTCGAATTATAACAATCCAATATGATTTAATACCTAAATCTTCTCCAAATGAGCTTAAATTTGAAATATAACCTCCAAATATCATCAAGAACAAACTCCAATCATCAATTTGTCAAAACAATAATAAATCTAACAAACCCATTTTGCAATTAAGAAAAAGAAGAAGAAATCCTAAGCAATAGTAAAAAATAAAGTGCCATAACAGCTTACCGCTGTAAAATATTATAAACTACCTTAAACTATGTTCACAAATACCATATAAAATCATTATCACCCGAAGAAGAAGAAAGAGGAGAAAAAAGGTCTAAAGTTGTTTAAAAAGTGGGTATATGTTAAATGGGGGCGACCAAATATCCCATGCAATTTTCTGGTTAGTTTCGGTGCAATTCGGTACTGCTTGTTTAGCAATATTTGGACGAATTTGATATTTTAGAGAAATGTATATTTTTAGCGGTTGACTAGACAATGGTTAGCTAATTCAGTTTAGTTAGTATTTAGTCCCCTATCACTCTAAATTTGACTATTTACGGTATTTGGAAAAAAACCCAGAAAGATAATTTACCAGCTCTACAAGAGAGATTACAAGGCAGAGTCAGAAATAACTATTATAGAAACAATAATGCAAGAAAACTATAGGCTTGAACAGCTAAATTATTAAAAATGATGAGCGCAAACAAAAATCCAAGGGAGGACAGGTACGTATATTTCATGAGGTAAAGTTCATACTTCTAAAACTGCAAAGACCAGATATCCAAAGTAACACTGTCTAATTGACAAATTATCAGGTTCATAAATGAAGATGGAAAAGGGGAAACAGAACTCTCATATTGCTAAAGTGCTTGCCTTAACAGCATCCTTACAGACAAGAATATTTGGATAAGCAGCATTCACTCGAGATTAAGAACGTCAATCTATCCAAGGAAATTCATGATCACCAAATGGAGCACCAAATTGCAGAGAACAAAATCTGCATAAGCACGTTCTGGTGGCAAATCCTGCAGTAGTGGCAATAAATAAGGAAATAGCAATAGGTAATAGTTCTCTGCTTCTATGAGGAAATGAGCAAGTTATTAGAGGATTAGGATGAGAACGCCATGCAGTCGTTGCTCATGTAAAACTTCAGTTTCTCCTTGCATTTCAGTGAAAGTAAGATGGAACAATGAGCTGGAAACTATGAGAGAAGATCTTTCCCAAGAAAAAGCTTACCTTGAATTCCTTGTTTTCTTTGTTTACTTGGATTCGGAGACAAACTGCGACCAAAGATAGATAAAATCGGTTAAACTCAACATTTTCCCACGAAGAAGTGTATGACAGAGAACAATAAGCTCACCAGCAAGGACTGCAGTGCCTACACAAGAGAGTACCCCAGAGAGAAAAGAGTTGAATGGGAAGGACCCAACAATAGCCATGTACCCAACCTGATAAAGTGAAAAAAGGTTAACAATCCCCATTAGGGATAAACAAAGCACGTTGACATCTCAATTTCAGATACAGAATAAATTCCGCACTCTTTAGGCATGAGCAGTAAAATAGCTGAAAGGATCTCCATGCAGGCATGAAGCAGCAGCGAAGCTCTATACACAGGCAAACTTCAAATAGATCTTACTTATGCTTATGAGTCGAATCTGGGATAACATGAATGTCTAGCTTTCTTCTTTTTATACAATGTTATGAGCAGCTCTGGTCTCAAGGACTCATTCTGACCAAAATAAGAGGCTTTACTAACTTCCAAAGGAAAATCGGCTAGCATTTTGCATAATCACATAGAACTTCGAACATGTCGCATAACCTCAATAAATGATGTGTAGTAACTAGTAATACATATCTCTCTTCTCCATTCCGAACACCTAACGCCAGGTATCAAGAGCGTTACTCCTTTCATTGCTGGTTTCGCAATCTATTATTTGCAGGTCATTTTGACTAGTTAAGCGATCAAAAGATGTTTTGGACGGGTAAAAGAAGGACAACACATCAAGTACTATGGCAGAGTCCAAGCAAATGCTTCTGTTACACTGTCATCAAGAACCAATAGCTTAAAGAGCTAGCCTAAGAGCATGAGGTTTGAGTGGCCTGTAGCATGAGATATATGATCTATGCAGTGAAAAATGTATTCAAGGAATGAGTGGTGGAGGTGGTGCACATGACCTAATATCAACCTGTTTGGTAGCGGTGGAAGTAGAAGCAGAAGAAGATAAAAAATGAAATAGGATGATATTCACCCTTTCGAGGTTTCCCACAGAAGCTCTCACTTTCTCGCAATGCATTGTGCCCATATGCCAAGGGCAGAAGATTCATATAAAGGTGCTTTAGTGAGTTTTTCTCGCTATTTCAATTGAATCATTCTACCAGAGACATCGCTCCATCCCTGTTCCATCAGATGTAGCACCCTTGTGATGAGTTAAGGGCTTGTAATGAAGATAAGGGTATGGATGAGACCATTACAACAACATACCCAGTCTTATCCCACACCGTGGGGTCTGGGGAGGGTAGTGTGTACGCCGTCCTAAGTTGCTCTGATATGGCAGTTTAGGTGCCGCACCCGTGTCGATACGACACTAGTATGGGTGTGGGTATGGTATCCGTACCGGATCTGGTCAAACAATTTTGGGTACTTTGACCACGACTGACAGAAAAATTCGAGACGAGATACAATTTGATTACCGAAATCAGAACTAAAACTAGGGTAAATTTGAAGAAAATAGCATATCTTATATGGGAAATCAATCTTTTACTTATCTACAACTTGAGAATAAAAAGGAAATCCATACTTTACAAGTTATACGTAAGTATTCCACAAAATTTCTCATAAATTAGAGAGATTTTTATTTTTTTAAATTATTTTTAGCCGGATCCCCGCACCCGTATCCGTACTAGGATCCGTATCCTTGAATCTTAAAATTTACATCTTGAAAGATCCGACCTCTAAATCCACACCCGTGTCCGAGCAACTTAGACGCATACCTTACCCCTACCTTATGAGGATAGAGAGGCTGTTTCCAATAGACTCTCGGCTCAGAAAAGCATAAGCACCACATTAATGAAAATATGGACAAAAAGGGACAGTACCAAAAAGCCATATAAAAGCAGAATAAAAATAACAAGGTAATACGGTAATCCACAATGAAAGAAAACAACGGTTAGTCATAAAAACCTGCTGCCCACAGAAAGCGAAACTGTGTACCAATACTATTGTTATAAACACTCTAGACTACCTACTCTACTACCCTAATCCTCGACCTACATACCTTCCTATCAAGGGTCATGTCCTTGGTCAGCTGAATCTCCGTCGTGTCTTGCCTAATCACCTCTCCCCACCTTTTCTTTGGCCTACCTCTACCTCTCTGTAGGTCCTCCAATGTCAACCTCACACCTCCTCACCGGGGCGTCTGTGCTCCTCATCCTCGGATGACCAAACCACCTAAGCCGCGCTTCCCGCATCTTGTCCTCAATAGGAGCCACACCCACCTTGTCGCGAATAACCTCATTTCTGATCCTATCTAACCTGCTGTGACCGCACCTCAACATTCTCATCTCTGCTACCTTCATCTTTTGGACATGAGCGATCTTGGCTGGCCAACACTTAGTCCCATACAACAATATTGGTCTGACCACCACCCTGTAGAACTCACCCTTAAGTATCGGTGGCACCTTCTTGTCACATAAAACACCGGAAGCGAGTCAACATTTCATCCATCCCGCCCCAATACGATGTGTGACATCTTCATCAATCTCCCCATCCCCCTAAATAATAGACCCAAGGTAGCTTGACTGATGCCCAAGTGCTTTAACAGTTCATATTAATTCTCACAGACAATAGATGACTGCTCACTCCCAACCGGGAGAAGTTATCAAGTCTGATCAGTTTAAGGCCATAAATTGTGAAGGAATATCAGGGTATCAAAGGCCTTTCATGAGGAGAAACTGTAAATTCACTTTAACATAGATTTCTAGGGACATATTAACCTAGAGCAGTGCAATAACCTTGGACAGTGCTGCTGCCAAGACCCAGTACAGGAATTTCAAGAAATAGGATAAGTGCAAGGAGACTTCTTTTTGTGATGTGAGCACAGAAAAGGAGATGTTCTGAAGCAACAATAGACCCCAGAGGAGTAAGATGATGATATTCATGGTGGTTCGTAGAGAATCCATTAGGACAACGCAATTTGGTGCTGTTTTGGTTTAGAAAAAAAAGGAGGAGTTCCATCATCAAAGAAGTAATAGTGTAGACTCTTCCCTTGGTTCGACAACAGCTTTGCTAAGACAATGACATTAGCAAGAATGCTTCTTTCTTCAGTAAAAGATCGATTACTAACTAATAATTTGGCCATTTTATTTATGCAAACTTGTACTTTAAGCAAAAAATTGTTGTTTACAGCTGTTTAAATGCTAAAATCTTTTGTAGAGAAGTTACAATACAATTTCAACATTAACTCCAGAGTTAGATCAACAAAAGCAATCTATAACTCCATAATCAAAGGTTCCACCCAACTGTTATGGCTTGTGGGTTCTATTGTACCGTCAGCGGTCAGCATGATTAGAGGGTATGAGCTCTTCACCAGGGGATTAAATGCTATATATAACACATCAGCAATTTCTGAGATGACCAAGAGACCAAATGCCAATGAAACCTAAATCTATTTTTCTTTTCTTTTCTTTTTTCCATCTAGGGCCAAGCCTTAGGACCAACCGCAGCCTTCAGAACTCGGGGATAATGAGCCCGCCCCTCTACCATAAACCTAAATCTACTTACGCTGCACAATGCCCGCCATGAACTCATTAAGCCTCAGCATCCAAAAGCAAAACAAATGGTTCAATTAACAATTAGATTTTGCTCAAAGCCTCAAAGTAAGCACGTAAGAACCAAATAATTCCAATATTAGCCACGTATCGTCCAAGTTTACCAATACAAATAACATAGCCAACACAATAAACCAATACATAGATCTATACAGTAAAATCAATCAATCTAACCACGAGTACATATAAGACAGAGTATATTCATAACAAAAAAAAATATTACCTGAATTACAGCGGTGAATATAGCAAACAGGACATATATATCAATGATCTGTTTTAAAACAAAAACAAAAACAAAAAAATCAATTAAGGATTCAGTAGTATAACTAAAATAAAGCACTCGTATAGCTGATCCCGACTAATTTGACCAAAACTAGTATTGAGATGTATTGATTGATTGATATATAGATCTAAAAATGCTCTTGTGAACATAAAAATGGTGAGAGAGAGAGAGAGAGAGAGAGAGAGAGAGAGAGAGGGTAACCTTGAGATTAGTGGGAGTTGAAGCGTAAGCAGAACGGAGAGAGTGGAGAAGTGCTTGAGCGTCTTTGGTCGCTGAAGATTTCGCCATTTTTCTCTCTCACTTGCTAGTTGCGACCTCTAACTGATATGAGATGAAAGTGTTAAACCCCCAAACTAGTCAAGTATAAAACGGGTCGAAATGAAATATTCAATGAAAAAGAAAAACCAAAAACAAATTTAAAAAAAATGTCAAATGGCTTTGAATCTCACAGTGTTAGTATTATTTATACATCGTGCTCCTTTATAATTTTGAATTTAAGAAAATAACTTTTTAAAATTTCTTATGTATAAATGACAGATCTCTTACGTATAAATAATATAAAAAAAAAGAAATATGATCATAAAACTATAAATAAATTTGTAAAGAGCTAAAAAAAATTAATTGACCCGGATGGTGAAGAGGGAAAAGGTCTAAATTTGCATCTATTTTGTCATATGTTATACTTACGGGTGGCAAATGGGCGGGTTGGACTACAATTGGACGGGTTAAAATGGGTTGAACTAATAAATGGGTCATTGTACAACCTTGTCCAAATGTTACTTGGAGTGAAATGGGTTGGGTCAATATGAGTTAACCCAATCCGTCCAACTTGATACGTTATTTTTACAATACAATATCCTTTTTTTTTTCTTGTAGACCATCAATGTCACGAGAAATCTTTACTTTTTGTATATGTTCTCTTTTATTTTGAATTTTCTTTTTGTAAGACTCTATCAACAACTCGTTCTATGACTAAGATCACAACTAATTCGATTGCTTAGATCTGATAGTATTGAACTTGTTAATTATTGTAATTAATAAAAATAAATGAAAATGTTAGAGAATTATTTAATTTGCAAGGTAAATTCTTGTGCTTAATACTAATTCAATCATCTATGGTGCAAAAGTACGGTTGAAGTAATGTTTTGTTTTCTAAAAATGAACTAATATTTTGTTTTCTAAAAATGAAACTTTTCAAAGGTAATAATTATATGAGATCTATTCTTTCACTTTTAAGATTAAATTAATTCCTATTTTATTTTAAATATTCCAAACAATATGATTGATCCACAAATGTGATTTATAAAAAGAACAAATGTTTTGACCATATAAGATAATTCTATTTTATCATGAGATTATAAATTAAAATCCACCTTTCTGGATAAGGAATTACTCATATTTTTATTTGATTGAGCATCAGTAGAGGTTCACATATATCCAGCTTCAAGAGAGAATTTTGGGCAATCACATGGGCCAAAGTTGGGCACTATCATGGGTCAATTTGGGCTAGTGATTTTTCATTGATTACTTTGGGCTAGCCCAAATTAGCCCATTAACAAAATCACTCTAGCCCAAACCCATTAGTACTTGGGCGGGTTGGGCGGGTTGGGCGGGTTACATGGGTTGGGCATGTTTTGCCACTCTAGTTATACTTTTGCTCCTAAGAGCTCAGCGTGAAATAAATATATTTGACGTATCCAAATTTATAAAGTGTCCATATTTGCTTATTAATTTTATATTATAATTTAAAATTACTTTCAAGTTAGAGATAAAAAATAATTGTTATATTTGGATCCATATGACTTGTAATGTGTAGGTTATAGCTTTATTTCTCTTGCTTGTTTACTATAGTCGGGTTGGTACGGCTTTCTAGGACATGAGTACCCTTATCACTTTTGGAGCTTTAATTGGTAAAAGCAAGATCATAAATAGAAGAAAAAGCTACAGAGTAGAGGTTAAATTTAAAACATCATTTTGTTTTTTTAGCTGAACGTGAATTGTTTCTTGGTAATTAATAAAAGTCCATAGTTACCACCAAAAAAAATGTGTCTTGTTCGTTTTTTCTTAATATTCTTTTGGTTGAATTCTTGATTTATTCGGGCTAGTAATATAATTCTAAGTTATGCAAACTTTTGATTTGATTAATAAATGAACATGTTATTTATTCAACATGTTCCATTTTTAGATGATTTACAAAGGTTAAACATTTATAAATCAAATTGACACATAGTGTTCATTTGTTACCTCATATATACATCTAGATAATTGCAAATTCATCATATTGCTTAATAATGTTGGTACTTTTTATTTATTGGCAGTGACACATGTGATTTTTCCTTAAGACATGTGCATTGTCTGCCTTGAACAAACATCGCAAAAGCGTGATGAGAAGACTAGCTGTGGGGATGTATTGTGGGGAAATATAAAAATATTTGGTCTCAACTTTGATTATATTTAATTTATTCTTTAGTGTCTCAATGTTAAGCAAAAATTTGTTTTTATACATTGCACAACACAAATTATATATGTGGATGCATGCATATATATTACATTGAATTCCCAATGACCAAAAAAAAATATTACATTGATTCCCTAAGTTCACATTGTTTTGTGGACGATTACAATCTTCCGATTTCTTTTCTTTTCATCCAAATATTTAATGTGGTAAAGAAACAAAATATCATAAGTTCTCTCCAAATATGAAAAATTAATGTACTCACTAAGAATTATATCCTATTGGTGGCAGATTGAGGATTACACCTTAACTTGTGCGTTTTAGAACGTTTTTGTTATTAGGAAGTGATTAAAATTAAATACAGAGTATAGAAAGGGTTCATTCTCAACATACCAACTTATCACGATCCCAAATTTCTACCTTAAGATGTCGCGATTACACTTAATCTCTAAGACTAGGTAAGCCTAACACATACAGAGTTATTAATATATTTAAACCATTTAACTATTAAACAGGAATCAGTAATTGCCATACATAGCCAACAACGATCAATAGATTTACAATATCCCAAAACCGGCAGTATGAAGTTAGAAGCCTTTCTAAGAGTAACTAAGAAAATCAAATACATCACTGTTTGGAATAGAAGTAAATAATAACAATGTAAAACTCCAAAAGGTGACTCTGAGGCCTGCGAGCGTAGTGGCAGGTGTACCTTGAAGTCTGCGTATCAAAAACTCCAACAGCTAGCTAACGACCAGCAAGCTCAGAGGTACCGGGATCTGCACAAAAAATTTAAATAAGCATAGCATGAGTACACCACAACGGTACCCAGTAAGTATCAAGACTAACTTCGGTGGAGTAGTGACGAGGTACAGTCGAGGCACCTACTAGACATAAGAACTTGTACAAGTATGAATATAAAGCTAACAAAAGAACTATACTAATATAAGGCTAACCATGGAAAGAATGACAATACAACATTAGCAAATAGAGAGTAGAAGCAACAATTAGCAACAAGGAATAAACAGGTGATAATGCTGCCAAAAAATCAGAACACAATTAAAGTACTAATGAAACCAGGTAAGGAAAACAAGTAACAATCAAATAATCAATCGTTCTTACACAAGGTTTACACGAGAATCACCCTGAGGTACCACACCTCATAATCACAATCACAAGTCCCAAATCACGAATTATAATCACTTGGCATCTCGTGCCCACATTACCAATCACAACCGCAAGGACGACTCATGTACTACATGTGTAACGGTCCAACCGGTCGTTTTGCCTTCTAGAACCCCGTTCCCCTAAATAAGACTCACAGTATATGCTTTTACTGTTTTATGACTTGCGAGGATGGTTAGTTCAGAATTTGAAGGGTTTAGATTAAAAACGGAACACTTGGTCCCTTAGTTTTGCTTTAAAAGGGTAAGTTTGACTTCGGTCAACGTTTTGAGTAAACGATTGACGGTTCCCATAGGTTCATATGATGATTTTGTACTTGGGCGTTTGCTCAAATCGAGTTTTGGATAACCCGAGAGCGTTTCGGCACTTAATAGTGAAAGTTAGCTATTTGAAGATTTAAAGTTCTTCAAATTTGATTTGGAGTAGGTTTTGGAGTAATCGAGATCCGTTTGGAATTTCTAGCCTAAGAATAATTCCATATGGTGATTTAAAACTTGCACGCAAAAAATGGTGTCATCCCGAGTAGTTTAAGTATGTTTCGGCGAGTTCGGAGTGCGTTTGAAGAACTTGAATTTTCCAAGCTGAATCAATTTGGTTTGGGGTATGATTCTTAGTTTTGATGTTGTTTTACGCATTACGAGGGTTCGAGCAAGTCCTTTTTATGATTTCAAAGTTGTTGGTATATTCGGGTGTGGCCTCGGGTGTTAATCGGACGAGGCTCGGACCAAGTTTGGACTTAGGAGCAATGGTTGAAGCTTCTAGCTTCTAGTGTAACCGCACCTCTGCATGGACAGCCGCAGGTGCGAGAAAGAAGCCACAGAAGCGGTCCAGCAGAGGCATCTCAGAAGCTGCAGGAGTGGAGCCATTGGGCGCACCTGTGAGCGCGCAGGTGCGAGAGATGAGTCGCAGAAGCGACCAAGCCGCATAAGCGGCGTGAGACCCGCAGAAGCGGGCAAATGGTCCGCAGGTGCAGAATTTGACCCAACTGGAGGAGACCGCATCTGCGGGGATTTTTTCGCAGAAGCTGTCGTACCTCCGCAGGTGCGAAAATCACATAAGGCAGAACCTTCGTTTAAGTTAAGGTTTGAGTATTTTTTACTAATTTTCTTCTTTTTTGGGGCGATTTTGGAGCTTATTGAGAGCGGTATTCACCTAGCAACTTAGATATAAGTTAATTCTACCTATTGTGACTTAAATACATAGATTATGAGTAGATTATAACATGTAAACTGTGGAAATCAAGGGTTAAGATGAAAAACCTAGATTTTTGATAAAAATGAGATTTTAACCACGAAAATAGTTATGGAATGGGATAAAAATTGTATATTTGAGTTCTTAAGGTTATGGATGACGATTCTCTCTGAAAATTTCCGAAATCCGGGCACGTGGGCCTGGGGTGAATTTTAGGAATTTTACCAATTTGGGTTGGGTAATTACCCTAATAGATAAGTTATGAAATTTTGAGTATTTATTGATTAAATTATGTAACGTTTGACTAGTTTTGGATTTTTCGGCACCAAACTGAGGCTATAACGCAAGATTGTGATCGGGAAGTGAGCTTTGAGATGAGGTAGGTCTCTTATCTAACATTGTAAGAGGGAATTTACCCCATAGGTATTTTAAATAAATAATTGTTGATAATTGTGGGGGCTATGTACGTACGAGGTAGCGAGAGTCCGTGCGTAGCTACTATTATGCTATTGTCCGG